CGTGAGGAATTGTCGACCCACCCATGCCTTCAATGTGGTCAGTCCTGAAGTCAAGCGCAGGGATGTGGTCAGTCGGGTACAAAGTCATCGTCTCACTCGTACAGTATTACCTCCCTTATTGGAAACCTCTAAAATATCATACAGATAAATTTTATATCAAGGGATGACCTCGATATAAGTATTTTTTTAGAGCAGCCAATCACAGAAGAATAATTCAAAATATCAAAATGTGTGTGTGGTTGTGTTGAAGCATTTTCAATCGCCCAATGAAGCAACCAAGGACCCACGTCAGGCTCAACGCAGCACAAAAGCGCTTGATTTATGAGCACTATGTGATGAATTCTTGGAGTAAACTAGAAGAGCTTGCAATGTGGAGTAAGAACAAGTTCCGCTTGAAGAAATGTCCTTCCATACAAACTATCATGAGGATCCTAAATAAACCACCATCGAAAGAGGAAGCAACAAGGCGACCAAATGCAAGATAAAATAGTGCAGTGAAGTCTCCATGGCTGGAAGATTATATGTTGGGCTGGATCAACGATTGCGAACAATTGGGGTGTCCCGTGTCAACGTACAATATACTCAAGGAAGTAGCTCGCTTGGCTGGAGATTGCGCTCCCGAGGAACACGAACTGAAAATGTCAAATGGTTGGCTCCATAAGTTCTTATCAAGAAACAATCTAAGATCCCGACGAATCTATGGCGAGGCAAATGCGGTTGACGACCATGCGATTGAAGAGGGGAAGACGCGAATTCAGAAAGCAATGTCGTTCTACCATAAACGCGACGTATACAACTTCGACGAATCAGCCTTCTTCTACTGCTTGATGCCCACAAGAACCATAGCGTCCAAGTCTATCCAAGGATACAAGAACAACAAGAATCGCCTTACCGTTGCTGTTGCGTCCAATGCGGACGGCTCTCATCACGTTCCGTTGCTCTTCATTGGAAAATACAAGTCACCACGATGCTTCAAGGGCAAGACACCCGACGATCTAGGAGTTGACTACATGAACTCCAAGAAGGGCTGGATGACGACAA